CCCCAAAACCCCAAAACCCCAAAACCCCGTAATCATAAAATTAGATAATAATAGAAAAAAAAAAATTGTTTAATTGAAAGTTTTAGATCTAATTAAATATAGATAGATTTTAATTCACTTGTTTTATATCCTCGTCATTAGATTTTACTAATTCAAATTTTTATGAATTTTCTCTCTTCGTTCATTTTACTAGCTCTTCAAATTCCCAGAAACTGTCTTTTGCTGCTCTTAATTCCCCGAATTTACTTTTCTAGTGCCTCTAAATCAACTCTTTCTTTCAATTATTGATAGATAACATCACCGTGAGTATTTCCATTTATCAATTCAGAATCACCCTCATATTGCTTAGAAGAGCTATGATTTTCGATTTCATTACAATTTTTAGTACCGGAAGTATGATTATAGAGTTGTAGATTTTAGTTCTTATCTTCTTAAGTAATTACTTAAATTCCAGGATTAGAGAGGTTAGTCGATGCACTCCTTTAGACAGTAAGTTTGTCCGGATGGCCGTTTTAAACAACAGCTGAGTCCTTCAATTATTTTTGGAGCTCCCTGTTTAGCTCTATTTACTTCATGCAATCTGAGTGGACAACGATTGTTGACTTTTTATTCTCTTTGGTATTTAATCTTATTTTCTTTGCTGACATAAAATACCAAGCTTCCTCCTCATCATCAAATACCACATCAAATACCTCTTTACAGATAAAGCAAGCAGTCTAGATGTAATTTTTTTAATTTATTTAAATCTTACTTCTCTGTTATTGTATGGTACCATATCATCTGTAATTTTCTAATTCTAATTGCCTGACTAGCCTCCTAAATTCATAAAGTTATTAGCATTTGTTTCTTACCTGCTTTTTAATTTTATTGCTGAGCTCTGGGCTACACAAACTCTTTTTCATTCATAAATTGAGGCCTTGATACCGCCCTATTTCCCCTTCTTCTGAATTCATTATTCTTATTGAAATGCATATCTAGATGCTTTTTCAATATCTAATTTCTAATGAATCTCATTCCGCAAATGGCACATTAAAACTTTACTCCTTCATAAACTTCATTAATGGCTAAGAAGTTTAGCCTAAATACAAATCAGATATAATAAACTTACTCTTTCAATGAGTTGATATTATCGAAAGAAGGAGGTCTTGTGCTACCTTGCATGCTTAGTCTGGAGTCTTAACCTAATATAAGCATATGATTTGTTTTGAATTATTGGAAAGACTTTAAAATAGAGGGCAAGAAACCGAATTGAGTATGATCAACATTTGTTTTATTTTGAAAATTATCATCAATATGAGTTTTAGTATACATTTGACCGCCTCTGCTCATAACACCTCCATGAGGTTGTCCAACTAAGCCGCTGCCACCATATGATCCACTTCCATTTGAATACTGAATGATTTGATGTCCTCTTGCTCCTTAAATATGGTTTTACTGATGCTAAATATGCGATTTTCCTTCCTCAATGCCTCCTACAACTATTCCTCCAAGATATCCTTAACCATTAGCTCTATTGCTTGAGCCTATTGCTTATGAAAACTGGTCAATTTGGTATTAAGGCTACTATTGATGCTGGAATTATTAATTTGCTGGGAGCTAATGCAATCCATGAGGCTGTACCATTTAATCTGAGCCTTAATTATCAACCCTTTTTTGATTTAATGCACCAAGCCTTTCAAAAATCGAAGCTAAGTTACTCGGTTAATTGTAGTTTTGTTATGTCCTTAAATCCCTTTCAATAGTATTTTAAGTAATGTTAGTAGACATCATTAAATTTTGTTACTATCCACCTCCTTGATTACCTCCGAGAGGAATCATACCTGGCTGATTAGACTCAGGTGGATTACTATTATAAGAAAAAAGGTTGGGATTGGATAAATTTTAGGGAAAAATATTAGATAGTGTTTACAAATTTTATCCAGGCATCTAAAGATGCTACTAATTATTTGGCTACCCACCGCCAACTGGGTAATTCATTCCACCAATCTAATTTAAAAACTAGCCTTAGTTAAACATATCTCTTCCATTATTTATTCTTTATGCATTCATCTAGCTCTCACTTCCAGCTATGAACTAACCATTTCTCATTACTTCATCTGGTAGGTTTCTTGGTTCGAATTCTCTTCTAAATCTGTTAACCTTGTCCCTATCTTCAGCACTTAATAATCTATCTTCCTATTAAAAAGGTATTATAATCTTTTAATTTCGATTTTTAATCATAAAAATAAATTAATGCTAGAATTTTTCCACTTACATATTCATTAAGCTGGCATCTATGAGCAATATTTTCAAGTAAATTTGGTTAGAAAAAAAGATCCCAGGTTTTGAACATCTTAATAAGTGACCTTTTTTCGCCTAGGTTAGGTGAACTGAAAGCATCTTCAAATATCTCCATTATCCTTGATTAGAACAATCTAATGTAATCACCTTAAACGTTCTTTAGAATACTGTCCAAAATATAGATGATGATTAGCTTATTTTATGACTATAAGGAAAATTAGGGCTATGAAAGCAGGATTTTGAATTTTTTAACTTACAACTGATCTTATTCTTTCAAATATAGAGTCAACTATTTGCCTTGAGTACTATCCATGACAAAATTTAGCATAATTGGTTAGCTCTTAAATCATTGCGCCATCAGGTTTGCTTATTACTCGAAGTCCTTATCTGAATGTGTCGAGATACTCTCTCGGAGTCATCAATTGCTGCTGCTATCCAGGAATTATAGGTATGGGAGGCTAAATTTATTGTAATGCACCCATAGGTGGAGCTCCACCGATATTATACGGCATCTGCCTCATATATTATTGCTGATGATTAGGATTTTGCGGGTTATACATTTGCTTTGTGAGTTTATGTTCGCTTAATATTTGTTGTTCCACTTACTTTTTTTATTAATTATAGTTATTATTATTCATTTCATTATAATTAGCAGCTATTTGTTTCCTATTATGATTTGAAGAGTCCTTATTTTCTTTTGATTATTTAACTTGATTAGAAAAACCAGCTGCCCCTTCTTTAGTTTTTTTGTGAAGATCTTGATGCTTTAGCTTACTATTAGTTTATTGCAATTACTTTTGTGCGGAACTCATTGTGGAATCATATTTACTCACTTATTTTTGCTATTAAGTTTATTAAGAATTAAAGTTTTAAGGGTTCATGAGCGTTTAATTTTTAGAAGTGGTTTTTGGATTTGGATTAATACTAGTAGTTGGAAATGGTATTTACAGCATATTAATTTTGTGAAAATATACGAGTTAAATGGTGGGACTTTAATTAGAACCACTGATGATTTAAAGATTTAAAATTAAGGTTAATAATATTAATTTCTTCATTCCTCATTATTCCATTTATTGAAGTGTCAGCTCATTTTTGCACACCTTTCAAAAGAATCATACCTACTTATTTATTCATCAATGTGCCAGCAAATTCAATTTTTTCGTCAACTCTTCAGCCTCTTAAATTGATAGCTAGTTTGGAATCAAAGACTTCTTAATGCTATTAGACCTTGTTTCAAATCTCTTCTTTGACATATCTGTGATAATTTCCTTAATCTTTTTGTAGTCATTACATTCTAACTCGAGTTTATTGTCTCTTAATATTTTTGTCATTTCATAAGCCACTAAGAAATGCTTCCTTCCATTAGAAGAATTGAGCTTTTACCTAAATAAATTCATCTCAGAATGTGAGTGTATTCCAGATCTTTCTCTTAGTGTTCCAACTGAAAGATGAGATTTCAATTAAGTATTCTAAGTTGAAGTTACTTCTAGATTCTAAGATTGAGTAAAATTACCACCATTACGCATTATTATATGGCTCAGATCTTTTTAGTTTCTTCCTTCTCTATTAGTATCAATAAATTCCTGATAAGCTTTGGTTATATTTAATGGTGATTAAACATTATCAGCTCCAACTTCATTGGGCCCATCTTTTCCATTACTAAGTTAAGCATGATCTTTCTTAATATGATGTTATTCATGTGAGTGTAAGTAAGGTTGAGAGTTACTCTTACTTATAGTTTATTAATGAGAGCCATTGAATTTATCAAATTTATCTTGCATTGAACTTGATTTCAAATTTTAGCTACCAACAGGATTGAAAGCTCTAAGCTACTTCTTTGGAAGTATTGCTGCTTTCATGCTCTATTATTTGATTGATTGAATGAAACTTTTCTTTTGCTTATCTTATTCAATCATTGAACTCTTCATAGTCATTAAAGAGGCTCTTAATGAATGAGGATTCATTTTCATGTCATAAAGGTTAGGTTCCTCTTTAAGGTATTCCATACTTAAAATATAGTCTTTGTCATTAATAATCTTACCGACTATCTTTTTTTGGTATTCTAACTCTTCCTTTTTAAGTAGCAATGACTTTTTATTATTTATCTTAGGAAGTTTAATCTCTTTAGTTGACTAAGATTTTATCAATGATTATGACTTCAACTCCTTGTTCATAAATAATGAGTTAAAGTTCACTGCATCTTATACTTTGAATTTAGCTGGATCTGCAAACTTAGCTTTTGGAGACCCAGATCCAAGTAGTTTAGTTACATCAACTTTATATTCCAACAATTTATTTTTGAGTTCTTCCATCTCATTTAGCTGCTAAAGAGTACTAAGATCAGTATAGTTTTAGTTCTTTTGATTATCAGGATTTTACACTCTTATGAGATCATCGCCTCCTTCAGTTACTTAGCCTGGGTTATTGTTAAGTGTACTTTTCTTTCTTATGATATTATAATCGTCATCGTATGAAGTTTCTTAATCTAAGGTCTTTTCCTTGTTCTCCATGTAAGATATAGAATTATCCATAGAATTATATTAGAATCTTTCATTTTCTTCATTATTCTCCATGCTTGATTTCTTGCCATCGATTCGATCATTATGTTATTCCTCTTTATTATCAAGACTTTCATCATTGTTATTTTAATCATCATCACTTTAATGGCTATGGACTTTTTATTTCTGTTAGTTAGTTCTATAATTATCCATCTCAAATTCATCATTATGCCTTATAGGTTCAGTTTATTCTTTGCTATCATAGCTTGGGCTGTTTTTTAATTGAATAACATTTACCTTGAATGCTGTCGGGCTTTGTATATCTTCCGTTTGATACAATTTATCATTCTGATTGTAGAGAGGGATTACTCAACTATTGTTGTGATTGTAATCATTATTCACTTAGAAAGTTTCAAACCTATTATTACTCCTAACAACCATGCTGTCATTCTTAAATTCCTTTTACTTTCTATCTTTAGATGTTCTGAAGTGGTTTTGATTTGGCTGTAAGTGATTGCTGTTTGTACTGTTTTATTACAATTGTCAATTTGATGATAATTTTAACTAGGGAAGAGCTTTGGTCTTTCTTTCTTGATTAATTAAAGATCTTAATTCCTTTATCCTCTATTCAGAGAGTGCCTCTCTGAGCTGACTAAATTTCTTGTTTTCACTGTTTGCGTTTGAGGTATTAGAATTATATTGCAAGTTCATATTCTAATTTAGATTAATTATTATATATAAATAAAAATATAAAAGAGCTAATAGAACAGATGAAACCAAGTCTTGAGTTTTCAGAGGATCCTTATATCACTACTAAAAACTTTGCAGTATTTACCCCTACTCTAGATTCCATTGAAAAGCTTTACAAAACAAATACATTTCAACCACCCTCTAGAGTTCGCACTAACAACTATTCAAGCCAGAGAAATCTTCATGCAATCTAAGATCAAAATGATGAATAAAATGAGATGAAATCTTAAAAAGCCTTTCCACAAACTCCTAAATCTTAGGCCTCATATAGATCTGGTAAAATTCTATAAAGCAACCAGGCAATTGAAGACTATGCTAATCTCATAGATAAATTCTCAAGAGGAGGCTAAAGATTAACCCAAGACAACTTGTAAAGAGTTTCCTCTAGTTAAAATTTTCATGGTAAAGAAGGTGGAGCATAATTACTTCACAAATTGAAGAGCTACAAGACAAACTCTACTGTTTAAGTCTTGTAAGGTTTACCTCTGAAAACAGCTTAGGGATAGAAGCTCTATGAATAGTAAAATAACAATTTAGTAAATACCCAAGCCTCTGGTCTGGGAAGATCAATGAAAAAGACTATAAGTTATCCTGGGCTTCCATGGATTCAGTTAGATGTTTAGAAGAAATACGAAGACCCCTTTAGTAAAAGAAATTTTATAAGAACTTAAGGAGCTTTCAGAGCTTCAGGTTAAGAGTCAGTAGAAGATATGATTATGATGTCCAGAACTATATCTCAAAATTTAAAAACAATGCTTCATTAATAGCGTGATTCGAACTATTTGACTGCCAATAGACTGATAAGCGTTCCAAAAATAGTTACTCATCCAGCCTAATAAAAGGTTAGCCTTGGCAAGCGATTTTTAATAGCTGAGAATGATGCTCATCAAAGAGAGACAAACACAGGCTATAGCAGAAAGGCCAATGGTACTTTTTATAATCACTGAGTAAATCTAGGCTTAAAAACAGCAAGATATTTGATTTATTTACTACTCATTTAATTTACGCAATCTTTTACAGCTTTATTTATGATTTTATTCCTAATTTTTATGAATTTTATATTGTGGGGTTTTGGGGTTTTGGGGTTTTGGGG